GTTTTAAGGTTTAGGGTTTAGGGTTTAGGCTTTAGGGCTGTAAGGGTTTTAGGTTCTAGGGTTTTATATAGGGCTTTAGGGTTTTAGGGTTTTAGGGTTTTAGGGTTTTAGGGTTTTAGGGTTTTAGGGTTTTAGGGTTTTAGGGTTTTAGGGTTTTAGGGTTTTAGGGTTTTAGGGTTTTAGGGTTTCATGTAGGGTGTTAGGGCTTTAGGGGTCTTAGGGTTTTAGGGGTTTAGGGTTTTGGGGTTTTAGGGCTTTAGTTTCAGTGTTTGGGGGTCAGGGTTGCAGGTTCGAGGGTTTAGGGCTTGGGAATCTGGGAGTTGGGGCCCCCTAACCGCAGTACCATGCGAAAGCATGTCCATTGACATGCCATAGTATTGCTATAAGCGCGATGTTCGCAAGTCGAAAGATCGTGACTGCCATCTGTCTTGTTCTCACGGCCATGCAGCCGCTGCGATTCTTCTTATGCAATAGCATGGGCTGAGTGAGTGTATTGGGACAGCTTCCAGATGAGGCTCTACTCCTGTCTTCTTACAGGCTGCTTCCTAAGAGTTGACGCGCGCGCTGGAGGCGCGTGCGGTGGCATGCAAGACCGCGTACTTCGACTGCCTTAAACCCTAAACCCTAAACCCTAAACCCCCTCAACCCTTGACCCTGAGCTTCTGCCACCGCTTGCCTGCAATTGTCAAAGAAGGCCTGTCCGCAGTGCAAGCGGAGCCCCTTTCTTAGTTGTCCAGTACCTAACCTAGGGGAACTAAAGGTTAACCTTTGGGAATATAAGGGGATTATATTACCTCAAAAATGTTAAAGGTTGCCTACTACTAAGGTTTCAGACAGCAGAACCGCCCACTTGACAGAGCGTCTGGCTCGCGATCGCCAAGCGTATAAAAGGTTGATGTTTGTAAGCGGAGGTGTCGACCCACGAAGCTGGCGGTGCAACTCCCCATGTCAGCAGAATGCCTTGCCTACCCGAACCCTAAACCCTAACCCCTAAACCCCAAACCCTAAACCCTAACCCCTAAACCTAGATAAGGGCTGCCACTGCCGGCGAGCCGACGATGACCTTAACGCAAAGCCTTGAACCCGAAGACCTCTCAACCTTGAAAGCCCACGGGCTTTCGGCCCTTAGAGCTTTCCACCTTGGAATTTTCCCCCCTTCTGCTAACAGTCCTTAAAAGGGTTTATAGTACCCTTACAAAAGGGCTTCTAAAAATCCCTATTAAGGACGGTTAGTATACGCAAAGGGGGGAGCATCCCAATTGTCCACCTCAAAACCTCGACCTTAAAGTCCTCGAAAGCCTCAAAAACTCACCAACCCTTATGCACCCCGAAACCCTGAACCCTTACGTAGTTGCTGAGTTCATAAGCCCCCAAACAGCGCACACTTTCAGTTCTGTCGGTGATTGTACTCCCCAAAAAAAGGCATAAAGTGTACTCACTCAGCTGCTCAGCTTATAAACCCTAAACCCTCAACCCGTAAAATCCTCAAAGCCCACAAAGCCCTCCCTAAACCCTAAACCCTAAACTCTAAACTCCAAACCCTAAACCCTAAACCCTAAACCCTAAACCCTAAACCCTAAACCCTAAACCCTAAACCCCTAAACCCTAAACCCCTAAACCCTAGCCTAAACCCCTAAACCCTAAACCCGAAGCTTCGCTGGCCAGGCGCGGGCTGCGCGAGGCTGATCTCAGCTGGCGAGGGCCCAGGCGCAAGGAGTGGCCGGCGCGGGGCATCCTCGCAGCTGCTCAGAGTGGCTCAGGGATTGAGGTTTAGGGTTTAGGGTTTGGGGGTCTTAGGGTTTAGGGTTTAGGGTTTAGGGTTTAGGGTTTAGGGTTTAGGATTTAGGGTTTAGGGTTTAAGGTTTCGGGTTTAGGGTTTAGGGTTTAGGGTTTGGGGTTTGGGATTTAGGGTTTGAGGTGTAGGGTTGAGGGTTTAGGGTTTCGGGTTTAGCTCGCACCAAACATGGGCTGCAGCAGCGCTGACCACATAACTCGCGCCAAACATGGGCTAGCTCTCTGAAAGCGCGCATGTCACAAATGGGGTTTAGGGTTTTGGGGGTTTGGGGTTTAGGGGTTTAGGGTTTAGGGGTTTAGGGGTTTAGGGGTTTAGGGGTTTAGGGGTTAGGGTTTAGGGTTTATGGGGTTTAGGGTTGAGGGTTTAGGGTTGAATATTGAGAAAAGCGAATGAGGTGCCTGAATGAAGATTGCTTACTTGAAAGATGCTAAGCAAGGGAGTGACTCGGTGTGATGCTTTGCCTGCGCGGGGAAGCAAGGCCCAATGACGATTGGAACCAAAGCAACGCAAGGCACTTCCAAGACGTCGTGCGATCCTCTAGGGTTCAGGGTTTAGGGTTTAGGGTTTAGGGTTTTAGGGTTTAGGGTTTAGGGTTTTAGGGTTTAGGGTTTAGGGTTTAGGGTTTAGGGTTTAGGGTTTAGGGTTTAGGGTTTAGGGTTTAGGGTTTAGGGTTTAGGGTTTAGGGTTTAGGGTTTAGGGTTTAGGGTTTAGGGTTTAGGGTTTAGGGTTTAGGGTTTAGGGTTTAGGGTTTAGGGTTTAGGGTTTAGGGTTTAGGGTTTAGGGTTTAGGGTTTAGGGTTTAGGGTTTAGGGTTTAGGGTTTAGGGTTTAGGGTTTAGGGTCTTCAGTTTCGGGGTTTAGAGAGAGTCCTTGGAGCTCTCTGGCAGAGGCGCCACGGTCACCCCAAGGAAGCGTCGCGAGGGCTCGAGGTTCAGGTGTCCTTGTGGTGCTTCTTGTCAAAGACAGATACGAAAAGTTTTCGGGTTTAGGGTTTGGGGTTTCGGGTTTAGGGTTTCGGGTCTAGAGTTTAGGGTCCGACAAGGGTTTGGGAGCGTTCCGGGTCAGTGAGTTGGCGGGTTCATGGTGTCCGGGGTTTTGGGTTCCGGGCATTAGTCAGCTCCCTTATCCTAAACCCTAAACCCTAAAACCCTAAGCCCTAAACCACAACCCTAAACCCGAAACCCCGCAAGAGCAGGAGAGCGGAAACGACGTGGCCGGCTTGGCTTTGGGGGGGTCCCCTCCTACTTGGAGGTTGATTCATCGTACTTATTAACCAGTTATGACTGTACTGAAACCCCACTTATGAGCCTCTCAAGTGCCCTAGTATGGTTAGAATAAGTACAGTTGGAAGTAGCCCCCAATATTCGCCCCCTTAAATAACCTTAATCGGCCTTAATTGTCCCTTAATAGCCTTCACCCAAAGAGCCCAATGCTCCTTATTTAAGGAATATACTTTCATTTTTCTTAGGGATCCTTAGTATGATTTAAGGTATATTTCTTAATTCCATGAACCTCCACGCAGGCCAGAAAGGTGCACCACCACGCAAAGACAGAAACGGCAGAGCAATCAATCACAGATAGCAAGTGTGAAGACGTCCCCAGCAGATACAAAGGACGAACAACAGCTGCCGACCCTTTAGGGCCTAGGGTTTAGGGTTAACCTAAATACACACATCTAATCCCCAAACGCCATGATGAACCCTGAAAGCCCAAACCCTGCTGTCCACCCTGAAGCACCCAAACCCCTGGGAGCCCCGAAACTCCCACAGATCCGCACAGCTTCGGGCGAAGTTTGCCAGCTTCTGCCGGAAGCGCTCCGGCGCCAACTTGCCAGACAACTTGCCCGCCCCAGTGGCCTGAGGGCTTCGGAACCCTAAGCCCTAAACCCTAAACCCGAAACCCTAAACCGTTTAGGGATTTAGGGATTTAGAGCTAGCTACTGTACATAATTGGCTTTAGAGCGTTTGAGGTCGAGAGTTAGGAGGGTTTGGGGCTTTGGGGGCTCGGGGACCTGGGTTTCGGGCCATGGCTTTCGCCGGTTAGTCCGGACAGTCATGACCTAACCCCCCTAAACCCTCAACTTTAACCCTAAACCATATTGCCGAAACCCTGAACCCTAAACCCTAAACCCTAAACCCTAAACCCCAAAGGTTCAAGAGGACCATGGCTTGCATTCCGGAGCATCAGACGTATATGGGAATCTTTGATCAGGGGGCGCACCTCGGCAGTTAATCCCTAAAGGGTTTAGGGTTTAGGGTTTAGGGTTTAGGGTTTAGGGCTTAGGGTTTAGTTTTTAGGGTTGAGGGTTTAGGGTTTAGGGTTTAGGGTTTAGGGTTTAGGGTTTAGGGTTTAGGGTTTAGGGTTTAGGGTTTAGGGTTTAGGGTTTAGGGTTTAGGGTTCAGCATCTCAGGTCCAAGCATTCACTTGTCAAGAAATTGATCCAGAAAAATACCCACCCGCCCGAAGAATCCCACAACATTATGAAAATATTTCACTTATGGAACGACCTTGCCCAGTAAAAAAATGACCTTGCCCAGTAAAAACATGACCTTGCCCAGTAAAAAAATCACCTTGCCCAGTAAAAAAATGGCGTTGCCCAATAAAAAAAGGACCTTGCCCAGTAATGACTTTGCGCAGTAAAAAGATGACCTTGCCCAGTAAAAAATGACCTTGCCCAGTAAAAAATGACCTTGCCCAGTAAAAAAATGACCTTGCCCAGTAAAAAAATGACCTTGCCCAGTAAAAAAATGACCTTGCCCAGTAAAAAAATGACCTTGCCCAGTAAAAAAAATGACCTTGCCCAGTAATGACCTTGCCTAGTAAAAAAATGACCTTGCCCAGAAAAAAAAATGACCTTGCCCAGTAAAAAAATGACCTTGCCCAGTAAAAAAATGACCTTGCCCAGTAAAAAAATGACCTTGCCCAGTAAAAAAAAATGACCTTGCCCAGTAAAAAAAATGACCTTGCCCAGTAAAAAATGACCTTGCCCAGTAAAAAAAATGACCTTGCCCAGTAAAAAAATGACCTTGCCCAGTAAAAAAATGACCTTGCCCAGTAAAAAAATTACCTTGCCCAGTAAAAAGATGACCTTGCCCAGAAAAAAAATGACCTTGCCCAGTAAAAAGATGACCTTGCCCAGTAACATTTTTACTGGGCAAGGTCATTTTGTTACTGGGCAAGGTCATTATTTTACTGGGCAAGGTCATGTTTTTACTGGGCAAGGTCGTTCTTTTGGACGAAACGACCTTGCCCAGTAAAAAAATGACCTTGCCCAGAAAAAAAGTGACCTTGCCCAGTAAAAAAGTGACCTTGCTTGCGGCTCAGGGCTTAAGGTCTGGGATTAGGGTTTGGCGTTTAGGATACAGGGTTTGGGGTTTGGGGCTTAGAGTTTCAAAAAGCGTCACAATACGGGCCCGAGTTTTTGAGGTTCCCACGATTGTGACGTCTTCTTTAAGGACTTAGAGGGTTTCGGGGTTCAGGCTTTGGGCTTTGTCTGAGGACCAGTGGGTCAAGGGACTTCGGGGCAATTGGGACCCCCTCTGAGTCTGTAGCACGCGAAGCCCATGTCTCTCCCGTCATATCCCTGAGGGCTTTGCTTGGGGTACTATAATCCCTATCAAGGACCGTTTGTATAGTTAGAAAACCCCAAGCTATAGCTAATAACTCTCAACCCAGGCAAGCCCATAAACCCGATAAACCCTATTAACCCCCCAAACCCCAAAAACCCTATAAAACCCTAAACGGCCCCGCGAACCCTAACAGCCTGCAAACCCTAAAATCTCCCCAACAAACCTATAAGCCCAAAAAAAACCCTATAAACCCCAAAAACCCTAAAAAAACTAACCTCCAAAAACCAAAACACGAAAAAAAAACCTACAAATCCCAAAAAAACCTCAAAACCAAAAAAACCCTAAAATAAATCGACCACCCCTGATTCTGCGGAGAAGCAGTTCCGCCATCACCACGCCGCCTCCAGGCCTTCTGAATACGTCTCCAGGTTTTGCGGGTTTAGGGTTTAGGGTTTAGGGTTTAGGGTTTAGGGTTTGGGGTTTAGGGTTTAGGGTTTAGGGTTTAGGGTTTAGGGTTTAGGGTTTAGGGTTTAGGGATTAGGGTTTAGGGTTTAGGGTTTAGAGTTCTAAGGTTCAGGGCTTGAGGGGTCTTCGGGGCTGTAGGGCCTTTGGCCATGGGGGGTGTTAGGTTTCTCAAGGCATTGCAGCTCTAGGCCGTCGGGCTTTGGCGTTCTAGCATTTTTGCGTCTAGGGTTTTGGGTTTAGGGTTTAGGGCTTAGGGCTTAGGGCTTAGGGCTTAGGGCTTAGGGCTTAGGGCTTAGGTTTAGGGAAGGCAACAGACCCTCACCCGCAACCACCTAGAGTGCAAACCCCAACCTCAAACCCTAAACCCTCTCATAAGCCCTAAAACCCCCTAAACGCCCCTACACAACCCTAAAACCCTTCCAATGCCCTAAACCCAAAACCCTGTCATAAACACTAAATCCCCCAAACCTCCCTCGATCCTCTAACCCCTAAACCCAAAATCCCGAACCAAAAGCCCCAAACCTTAAACCCCAAACCACAAACCCTAAACCCTAAACCCTAAACCCTAAACCCTAAACCCTAAACCCCAAAACCCGAAACCCCAAACCCCAAACCCCAAACCCTAAACCCTAAACCGCCTCCTCGGCGGAAGCACGCAAGGACGCAAGCCCGGGTGGCAGATCCCTCTCGGCCGGAGGCTCCTGGGCAGGCAGGGGGGCCTTGGGATTTGGGGTTTCGGGTGGTTTGGGGTTTAGGGTTTAGGGTTTAGGGTTTAGGGTTCAGGGTTTAGGGTTTAGGGTTTAGGGTTTAGGGTTTAGGGTTTAGGGTTTAGGATTTAGGGCTTAGGGTCAGGGTTGAGAGGGTGTATATAAGGGCTCTAAGGGCTTGAGGTGTTTCAGGGGTTTTAGAGTTGTAGACGGCAAGTTATATCGGCGGTTTAGGGCCTCGGGTTTAGGAGTTTTGGGTTTAGGGGGAGAGGGTGGAAGGCGCTAGGCCCTAAACCTTAAATCCAGAAACCCGAATACGGCAACCCAGTGTTCCGAAATGCCCGCTGGTACTCCCCTGAGCGAGCCTTAAGCTTTCCTAGCCGGAAAGCAGCCTGGGTCAGAGCTCACCTGACACCCTAAACCCTAAACCCTAAACCCTAAACCCTAAACCCTAAACCCTTGAAGGGCTTGGGGTGGAAGGATAATAATAGGGTTTAGGGTTTAGGGTTCGGCCCTTACATCTATGTTACATATAGAACCCCCCAATTGTTTAGGGTTTAGGATTTAGGGGCACAAGTTTACTAGGGCTTTGGTACTGGGGTCTAGTGATTTGGGGCTTGGAATTTGGGGAGCGTGTGCGAAAGGCTTCTGTAGCAATCGTTTTTGGGGTAGGCCAAGGAAAGTATACAAATCAGTTGAACACACCTGAACACACCAAGCATTTTGAGCAAGAAAATGCAGCAGCATATGCTAACCTAGTACAACCACCCTCCTGGACCTTAAAACCCTAAAAGCCTAAACCCCTAAACCCCTAAACCCTAAACCCTAAACCCTACACCCCCAACCCTAAAGCCCGAAACCGCTTCATGCCAGGAGGCATCTTGCAAGCGCGCACGGACCGCGCACAGCGCGACCCAGTCGCTGCCTGCCCAAGCTCAAGTCAGGAGCTGGGGGCATCGCCATAGTGGTTTAGGGTTAGGGTTTAGGGTTTAGGGTTTAGGGTTTAGGGTTTAGGGTTTAGGGTTTAGGGTTCAGGGGGCAGGGTTCAGGGGTTGGTTTTAGAGCTCCTTGTGGGGAGTTCCTAATGCCCGTACGACCCTAAAACCCCGAAACCCGCAAACCTGACTATCCTGAAGTCCTAGCCTGGGTTCAGGGTTCAGGGTTCAGGGTTTAGGGTTTAGGGTTTAGAGTTTAGGGTTTAGGGTTTAGAGTTTAGGGTTTAGGGTTTAGGGTTTTGGGTTTTGGGTTTTGGGTTTAGGGTTTTGGGTTTTGGGTTTTGGGTTTAGGGTTTAGGGTTTAAGGGTTAGGGTTAGGGAAGTCCTAGAACCCTAAAAAAAACCAAGCACACCCTTGAAGACACCCCAAACCCAAACAGCCCCAACAGACCTGAAACCCTAGAACCTGAGAAAACTATAAAATTCTGAAATCATAGAACCCCATGAAACCAAACTCCTAAGCTCTAAGCCCTAAACCCTAAACCCTAAACCCTGAACCTAGCCCTAAACCCTAAACCCCAAACCCTAAACCCTTAAACCCTAAACCCTAAACCCACGCCTCCAGGGCCGGCTTCCTCCACCTCCACCAGCTCGAGGCTGAACTTCGGGGAGCGAGACATCTCCGCAAGGAACCTTCTAAGGGTTTAGGGTTTAGGGTGTAGGGTTTAGGGTTTAGAGTTTAGGGTTTAGGGTTTAGGGTTTAGGGTTTAGGGTTTAGGGCTTAGGGTTTAGGGCTTAGGGCTTAGGGTTTAGGGTTTAGGACTTAGGGTTTAGGGCTGATGGAGTTCTTCTTCCTGAACTGAAGGGGTATAAGGAGGGACCCTAGTGGGAACCCTCAATCTTACTCCCCTATAGAACCCCGATAACTACCTTCATTAGTCCCTGTATACTTAAGTAGCCCCTGTATAACCCCGAAATTACCCCTTAGATTCCCTTGACAAACCCTAAACCTAAACCCTAAACCCTAAACCCGAAACCCTAAACCCTACACCCTAGCTTTTCACGAGGCATGCTTGTCTGCCCGAACCCTGAGCCTAAACCTTCAGCCCCTAAAGTCCAGGGTTGTTAAAACCCCAAAGCCTGAATCCCAAACCATCGAAGCCTCTGTAAAACCCAGGCTGCTGAAACCCTGAAGCCCCGAAAGCCAAAGATGTTAAAAGATGAAAAAACCCTCAGGTTTAGGGTTTAGGGTTTGGGGTTTGGGGTTTGGGGTTTGGGGTTTGGGGTTTGGGGTTTGGGGTTTGGGGTTTAGGGTTTAGGGTTTGGGGTTTAAGGTTGAGGGTTTTTGGGTTTAAGGTTTAGGCGTTGCCAGGACGCTGAGGCGAGCCATACTGCAGCATGTGGTCCGCAATGACGCAGCCAGAGGTGAAGAGGCCCAGATCCTTCTACATGCAAGATGAAAGACTTTTAGGGTTTAGGGTTTAGGGTTTAGGGTTTAGGGTTTAGGGTTTAGGGTTTAGGGTTTAGGGTTTAGGGTTTAGGGTTTGGGGCTTAGGGTTTAGGGCTCAGGGCTTAGGGCTTAGGGCTTAAGGTTTACATAAGGTTTACAGGGCTTAGGGCTTAGGACATGCAAGTAGGTTTGGGACCCTTCCTTACATTGAGAACCCAAAACGCAGTCAAACCATCACCCAGATGAAAGACTGTAAGGGCTTAGAGTTTAGAGTTTAGGGTTTAGGGCTTAGGGTTTACATGCAAGTAGAATCCACTCGGACCATGACCCAGATGAGAGAATTTAGGGGTTTGGGGTCTAGGGTTTCCCTAGACGCACAGCGGTTAGTGTGATGTAATACAGCTCCCCGACTTGAGCCGCTAAAACCTAAGCCCTGCATACCCTGAAGCCTAAACTCTGGATGCTCTACCTTGGACCCTTAAGGTTTACCCTTGGGTTTTGGGGCCCTTTGTTAAGGATCCCTAAGGGAATATAAGGGCCATATTAGGAGCGTATTAAGGGTAACCTTTAGGGGTACAACCTTAGGGGTACGAGTCTTCACGCCTTGATGAACCCTGAACCCTGACCTTAAACCCTAAACCCTGAGCCTACGGACAGGGGGAGGAGCGTCACACAACCCCAACCACTTTTTAGCACCCTGCCCTGAACCCTAAACGCTAAACGCTAAACCCTAAACCCTAAACCCTGAACCCTGAACCCTAAACCCGGAACCACAACCTCCAAGTAGAGAGGTCCTCCACGCGCCGCAGCTCGGAGAGATACTGGCCCTCCCGGTTGCCGCGGAGTACGAGGACCTTGGGGTTTAGGGTTTAGGGTTGAGGACTTAGGGTTTAGGGTTTAGGGTTTTTGACTTAGGGTTTAGGGTTGGTAGGGTTTGTAAGGTTTAGGGTTTAGGGTTTAAGGTTTAGGGTTTAGGGTTTAGGGTTTAGGGTTTAGGGTTTAGGGTTTAGGGTTTAGGGATTCGGGTTTAGGGTTTAGGGGTTACAGCCCCTCCCCCACTCCCCCCCCCCAACTCCGAAACTTTAACCCCCAGAAACCCTCTCCGGAGAATGCGTCAATGAGGACAACAAACCCGCTGGAAAAATCGAAAATGTTGGGTTTAGGGTTTAGGGTTTAGGGTTTAGGGTTTAGGATTTAGGGTTTAGGGTTTAGGGTTTAGGGTTTAGGGTTTAGGGTTTAGGGTTTAGGCTCTAGGGTTAGGGCTCAGGCACAACTACAATAAACGTGAGTACAAGTGGCCAAATATCTAAACGATACTCTCGAACCAAAATGCGAACTGAACTCACCGCACGCTTATGGTAGAAACAAATGATATTAGTTATAGCAAAAGGACAAGAGAAACGGAGCCTGGGGATGGGCGGACCTTCGCTGTCTGTTACCGGGGAACACGCGGACCGGCGTAGCCAAACGACCAGCAGCAGATAATGGATAACAGCGCAATGTCCAAAAAAATGATAGGCAAAGAAACGAAAGACAAAACGTCTTTGAACACTAGTAAATGTATAAATATCCTGGAACGCCACACTCTGAACCCTGAACCCCCAAACCCCAAACCCCAAACCCCAAACCCTAAACCCGAACCCTAAACCCTAAACCCTAAACCCCAAACCCCAAACCCCAAAACCCCTAACCCTAAACCCTAAACCCTAAACCCTAAACCCCAAGGCTCGCTCCGAGGCACATCCACGGAGCTTGGGCCGCGCGCCTCCAGCAGCTGCGGTAAGCAGTCTGCCGACTCACCCAGCCTGGGTTTCGGGTTCAGGGTTTAGGGTTTAGGGTTGAGGATTTAGGGTTTTGGGGTTTAGGGTTTAGGGTTTAGGGTTTAGGGTTTGGGGTTTGGGGTTTGGGGTTTAGGGTTTACAGTTTAGGGTTTAGGGTTACCTAACATGGACGCAGATCTTTGGAGCCGTTTTTATGGGGTTCTTATGGGACGGCGGGTTGACACCCAAGGTTCCCCAACTCACTGCTCCCAAAGCCTCCCTAACTTCCCTAAGATTCCCTAGGGGTTTAGGGTTTAGGGTTTAGGGTTTTGGGTTTAGGGTTTAGGGTCCAGGGTTTAGGGTTTAGGGTTTAGGGTTTAGGGTTTAGGGTTTAGGGTTTAGGGTATAGGGTTTAGGGTTTACGTAGGGTTTAGGGTTCAGGGTTTAGGGTTAGAGACCTCCCTTCAGGACCCTATAACCTTATGGATTCCTTTCATAGAACCCAAGCTACCATTCGAGTTTCTAAACCCTTCAAAAATCCCGGCAAAAAAAACATAAGTCATCCAGAAGGAATCCCTTAAACCCCTTTAAACTCTAACCCTAAACCCTGAACCCCAAACCCTACGTAAACCCTAAACCCAAAACCCAAAACCCACAACCCAAAACCCAAAACCCAAAACCCTAAACCCTAAACCCTAAACCCTAAACCCTAAACCCGAAACCCTAAACCCTAAACCCTAAACCCTAAACCCTAAACCCTAAACCCAAACCCTAAACCCTAAACCCTAGACCCTGAACCCTGAACCCGAAACCCGAAACCCGAAACCCTACGTACCCTATAAGCCCTCAACCTGAAGCCTGGAGATGTCGGCTTAGGATTCGAGTTCCAAAACCCTTGTGATCTTGGAGGGCTGCATGGATCCTAAACCCTAGCCCTAAACCCTAAACCCTAAACCCCCGAAACCCCAAACCATAAACCCTAAACCCCGAAACCCAAAAAAGTCCTGCACCCCAAAACCCCAAAAACCCGAAACCCCGAAACCTCAAAAACCCTAAACCCTCAAACCCCAAGCCCTAACCCCCAAAACCCCCCCCCCACCCCAAAAAAAAAAGAAAACCTGAGCCCTTATAAGCCCTGTGTTCCCAGCCTTAGTTGTCCAGCGCCCAGGCAAACTAAAGGTTGACCTTTGGGATTATAAGGACAATTCCATTACCCCTCAAAAAGGTTAAAGGTTACCTACGCTACTACTAAGCAGCTTCGCCGCAGGAGCCCCAAACCCTAAACCCTAAGCCCTAAACCCTAAACCCTAAACCCTAAACTTTAAACCCTAAACCTAAACTTTTCACCCTAAATCCTATACCCTAAACCCTAAACCCTTAACCCTAAACCCTAAACCCTAAACCCTAACCCATAGCCCTGTATATTCCCAGCTTCGCAGCAGGAGCTGTAGGGAGCTGGAAAGCCCAGCAAAGTGGGCGATGCAGCGGGCCGCCTGGGCTCGTGGGGTTTAGGGTTTTGGGTCTAGGGTTTAGGGTTTAGGGTGTAGGGTGTAGGGGTTTAGGGTTTAGGGTTTAGGGCTTAGGGTTTAGGGTTTAGGGTCTAGGGTTTAGGGTTTGGGGAACGCTTTGAAGGAAGGAAGCCGAGCTTATGAGAAGACTTGGGGGGGGGGGGGTTTCAGGGGGGTTTGGGGGGTTTAGGGTTTGGGGTTTGGGGTTTAGGGTTTAGGGTGTTTGAGGGGGGTTTAGGGGTTTTGGGTTTGGGGGTTGGGGCTTGGGTTGAGGGATTGAGTTGCCTGGGTTGACGAACCCACCACAAGGCACCTCAAACCAACTCTAATCCCAACAAGTCCACCACAACCCGAAGCCCACACCTGACACCCACGCGAGACCCTCCCCAAAACAGGCTTACGGTTTTGTAGAAACCGTGTAGGGTATGTGTCCGCCGGTTTTGGGCGGGTTTTGACCGCAGTTTCGTTTGATGAGCTGTTGTCTTTCTTGCTTCTTTTCGAAATGGTATTTCTTTGCCTTGGAAATTGAAGAGGGTAGGGTTTAGGGTTTGGGCTTTAGGCTTTAGGGTTTAGAGCTTGGGTTGAATATTTGGCCTCGGGGGGGGGGGGGGGGGGGGGGGGGGGGGGGGCTTTGGTGGGTTTTGGAGCCTTCGGATTTTTTTGGGTCTTTTAGGCGTTTTGCAAACAAACCACTTTGTGAATTCACACTGATACCATATGCAAGTTTCTTTTAATCCTGGTCTTGAGGGTTCAGAGTTTAGTCTTTGAAACCCTAAACCCTAAACCCTAAACCCTAAACCCTAAACCCTAAACCCTAAACCCTAAACCCTAAACCCTAAACCCTAAACCCTAAACCCTAAACCCTAAACCCTCCACCCTAAACCCTAAACCCTAAACCCTCAACCCTAAACCCTAAACCCTAAACCCTAAACCCTAAACCCTAAACCCTAAACCCTAAACCCTAACCCTAAACCCTAAACCCTAAACCCTAAACCCTAAACCCTAAACCCTAAATCGTAACAGTTTAGGGGTTTAGGGTCATGAAGAACAAGGCGCGGCCAAGTAGAAGGGGTCGGACTCGATGGACACCACTCGGCCCCCGTACTCCTGGCGCGCAGAGGCGGGGTTGGAAAGGGGCTTTCGGGTTTGGTGTTTAGGGTTTGGGATACTCGACCCTGCTCGAAATCCCAAAAAACACAGGACCCTAAACCCTAAGCCCTAAACCCTAAACCCTAAACCCCAAACCCGAAACCCCAAACCCCAAACCCTAAACCCCAACCCCAAACCCTAAACAACCCTAAACCCCAAACCCTAAACCCTAAACCCCAAACCCCACACCCCAGATCCGAAACCCCAAACCCCAAACCCTAAACCCTAAACACCCACACCCGGCACATCTCGACTCCTGCACCCTGGCGGCGAGGTGGGCAGCTAGAATCCCGCAGCCGCCACCTGGTGGGGAGGGGTAGGGTTTAGGGTTTAGGGTTTAGGTTTACGGTTTAGGGTTTACGGTTTAGGGTTTAGGGTGTAGGGTTTAGGCCTTTGTAACCGCAAATTTTTGTCTGCTTACAACCTACTTAGAGGACTTAAGGGGCTTGTAAGTACAGTTATAATTGGGGTTAGAAGTTCGGTTCAGGAATTCGAGATTGGGGTTGAGGGCTTGGGGTTTAGGGTTCAGGGTTTAGAGTTTGAGTTCAGGGTTTTGGGTTCAAGGTTTAGAGTTTAGAGTTTAGGGTTGAGGGCTTAGGGTTGATTTAATTCCAATATGAAGACTTCTTTTCTTCTACTACTTTACCACTCCTCCTCCTCCTCCTCCTCCTCCTCCTCCTCCTCCTCCTCCTCCTCCCTCCTCTCCTCCTCCTCCTCCTCCTCCTCCTCCTCCTCCTCCTCCTCCTCCTCCTCCTCCTCCTGCTCCTGCTGCGATGCCGGACGAGGGCGAGGGCAAGGGGCAAAACCCTAAACCCTAAACCCCAAAAGGGTGGCAAAAGGGTCCCACGTGGACCAGCTGCTACAAGTCCAAGATGAACGTTACATCTCGAGCTGAATCTGGGGTTTAGGGTTTGGGTGTGTTTCCGACCATAGGTTTACCCGTGTTGCAGGGTTCCCATCGTATGGACTATATTCTTTTGAACCCTAAACCCTAAACCCTAAAAATAGAAGGGGGGAGGGAGGGGCTCCCTACTTTGGGAAATAGCCACTTAAGTGGAATTGAGGCCGGCAGGCCCTGTCCGTTCCTTTTCTTTCAGATTGCCTGCAACAAGGTACTGTTTAGGGTTTCGGGTTTCGGGTTCTGATTCAAGGGGGCACCTAGTCAGCCCAGCCGCGCCCGCGCCGCTCAAGCAGCTCGCCGACCGCGGAGCGAACTTGCTGCAACAAGGTTGCCGCTTAGGGTGACCCCAGACAAATCCCTCAGCCGTTGTGAAAAGCTACCCTAAACCGTAAACCCTAAACCCTAAACCCTAAACCCTAAACCCTAAACCCTAAACCCTAAACCCTCCTATCCTGATCCACAGTGGGCCCGACCAGGTTCAGCATCTCGATCGCACACTTGAGGGCGGGCTCCTCCACCAGGGCGTTGCCTGGCTTGACGCCGATCAAGTCGTGGGTAACCTGCCCGATAACCTTAAGGGGACGCCAGCTTCTGCAAGAATAGGTGGGCCAATGAATCTCACCAGGTGCTTCATCTCGGATCCCTTGCTGGGCGAAGGCAGAATCTCAAGTTCGTTCCTGCAAACATTAAAGAGAACACGGGTGAATCTGATGGGTTCATCATGTTCGTTCTCAGGTGGAAACGTCAGGTAACACGCCCTCGCAGCAAGGGCAATGCGTGCACAGGCTTCAACGTGAGCAGGCTCCGCCAGGGCCTTTTCGAACATGACTTTGACGACGCGCCCCATCTCCTCAGCATTTTGTAGCTCGAGGTGGTGGGCCAGCATGCTCACGATGTCTCCGAAGTCGTGCTCGAAGGAACAGATCTCATCCACCAAGGTCTGCGCACAGCGCCTCACGTCCATTTTGTGTTTGGCGACAGCATGAAGGATCTCATCCGGCTGCAAGCTCAACTCTTCAACTGTCCGCGCCATCTTGTTTTAACTCATGGCCCGGCCATCCTCGCGAACCAGTTTCTTGATGCCAACATCGAGCTCACGCTCTGCTGCTTCCTTCACCTCCCTGAGGGTGTCCTTAGCTTGAACCCGAAGCTCGGCTCTCTGGCCGCTGAGCAATGCCACCTGCAGCACCACGCCACCAGGGGCTTCAGCTTCTGCAGCCATCACTGATTGCAGTGAGGCGAGGAGGGGCACCTGTGTTTGGCTTCAGAGAGTACAAGGTCAGTCTGCTAGAGCTGCTAGAGATGTCATAAGATTAGGCACTCGCAAGGAGAGAAAGCACTTGGACCCACAAATGCTGCGCCGAGGGGAGAGCGAGGGCGAAGGCGAGGGCGAGGTTTAGGGTTTAGGTATTTTGAGCGGGTGCCCTTGGGGTACTGCATAGCCTCTGGAGGGCCTTCGTCCGAACGGGAAACTGGTAGCAAGAAACTGGGGTTGCAGCGTTTAGGGTTTAGGGTTTAGGGTTTAGGGTTTAGGGTTTGTTGTGCCTTGGAGTGTTAATCTCGACCTTGTGAGGTCCTCATTAACTCACTCAAACCCCAATGTGTGGTCTCAGGTCTTTGGGGCTTTAGGGCATTGTAGGGATGCAGGGCTGAACTAGGGTTCAAGGGTTTTGGATTTTTCGGATGTACGGTTCAGGGCGTTAGGGGTTAGCATTCCGGGCTCTAGGGTTTTGTTTAGGGCTTAGGGCCTAGGGCCTAGGGCTTAGGGCTTAGGGCTTAGGGCTTAGGGCTTAGGGCTTAGGGCTTAGGGCTTAGGGCTTAGGGCTTAGGGCTTAGGGCTTCGGGCTTAGGGCTTAGGGCTTAGGGCTTGGGGCTTAGGGCTTAGGGCTTAGGGCTTGGGGTTTGGGGTTTGGGGTTTAGGGTTTAGGGTTTAGGGTTTGGGGGAGAGAGAGAGAGCGTTCGAGTTGGGACATCCTGGCCTATCTCCACCACCAACTGCGGCAAGCGTGCTGTGAACCTCGACTGAGGGCCCTTCTTCCAGCTTTGTGGTTTAGGGTTTAGGGTTTAAGGTTTAGGGTTTAGGGTTTAGGGTTTCGGGTTTCGGGTTTCGGGTTTCGGGTTTGGGGTACTAAACTGGTAAGATGCCTTGAACCTTCTCTGCCGGCGGACCTTCTTGCCGTCGCTAAAGAACCCAGTAGGCCCTCAATGCAAGACCCTAAACCCTAAACCCTAAACCCTAAAGACCCTAGGAAGATGTTGCGGCCGACTGAGTTTATCAAACAGTTGCCAGACGAACATAAAACTGCCGGCGGAAACCTCAAAGGTGCTAGTTTGAAGATGGATGTTGAGGGTTCACCGACAGGTTGCTGATATGAATTGATATATAACTAGGGTTTAGGGTTTAGGGTCTAGACTGCATCAAGTAGCCCAAATGGGTTGATTGGGTTCCTTCTACAATACGATTCCTTCTACTTCGTCAATGAGCATTCGTGCTTCAATGTTCTTGAAGACTGTCTGGGTGGGCGTGCCCGGTAACTATGCCCATCAAACGTGCATGCTGAGTTATCCAGCACCTAGAGGAACTAAAGGCTAACCGTTGGGATTATAAGAGGATGATATCACCCCAAGAAGGTTAAAGGTTACCTACTCTACCACTAAGCATGTGGATCCCTGCATGCGCACAGGAGCCCCCCTCTCGGGGAGGACTTAGGTGCGTATCATTCAGACCCTAAAACCCTAAACCCTAAACCCTAAACCCTCAACCCTAAACCCTAAACCCTAAACAGCAAACACCCCTGCCCAGAAAGAGCCAGATTTCTTTCTGGCTCCTGTCAACCCTAAATTGGCCCAAAACTCCAAGCCCTTACTGAACCCCCAAACCCTCAAACCCTAACCACAAACCCACAAACCTCAAACCCTAAACCCTGAACCCTAAACCCCAAACCCATTCAAGGACGACATGAAAAGGTTTTGCGGGCATGTGCACAGGTACTTGGTAAGTCGAGGCACAAGCTTAGACTCCAAACCCGCAAAGCCCTAAACCTCCAACTGCAACCCCCTGGACCCCCCTAAACCCAAAGCCTAAACCGCAAACCCTGAACCCAAACCCTAAACCCTAAACCCCAAAACCCTAAACCCCTAAACCCTGAAATAGTGGAAGGACCCCGAGCCTGCACCCCCCCCCCCCAACCCCCAAAAAACAACCGGTTAATCAGGGCCGACAGGCTACCTCAATACCCTCAAAAACCAGACGTCAGCCCTTAAAACTCCTAAGTCCGCAAACCCTGAGCCCTAAATCCCAAACCCTAAACCCTAAACCCTAAACCCTAAACCCTAAACCCTGCCAGGGCACTCATCCAGAATGGCGGCCCTCGGGCCCAGGGAGGCATCGAGGGCGCTGCAGCGAACACCGAAGGCGTGTGCCTTTTTTGGCGGTGCAAGGGTCATTGGGGTTTAGGGTTTAGGGTTTAGGGTTTAGGGTTTAGGGTTTAGGGTTTAGGGTTTAGGGTTTAGGGTTTAGGGCTTGGGGCTTGGGGCTTAGGGCTTAGGGCTTGGGGCAATGCAGGGGTCGGAATACTTGCTAGTAGTATTCGCCCTCTGGTCCCTGTTTCACTGTACTATAGTAACCCCCCAAAACCCTCTTCTCTTTCTGAAGGCCCCTATAACTATATTAGGCTTTGTGGCTCAGGGCTTCTAGGGGCTTAGGGTGTAGGTTTAGGGTTTAGGGTTTAGGGTTTAGGGTTTAGGGGTTAGGGCTTAGCGTTTAGGGTTTAGGGTTTAGGGATTCCAGGGTTTAGGGGTTTAGGTTAGGCCAACACCCTGAACCCCTCCAGCCCCCTGCGCTCCCTAAATCCCCACATCCCGAAAACCCTGACGCCCAAAACATGGGACCCTGGGTTTAGGGTTTAGGGCTTAAGGTTTAGGGTTTAGGGGTTTAGGGTTTAGGGTTTAGGGTTTGGGGTTTAGGGTTTAGGGTTTAGGGTTTAGGGTTTAGGGCTTACCTGATTCAGTATGGAAGACATCAAGCCTCTAAACTCACGGCCACTGAACAAGTAAGCCTGAAACCCCCCGAGGCCCAGGAGTAACCCAGGAATAATTTGAGTGCCCTTTTTGGTTTAAAGGCGCTAAGTCTGAAACCTAAACCCCAAAACGGGAAACAAGGGTCTACTCGGCCCCATCTCACCCTCCTGCCCCCACCACCTCCGCAAAAGAAATCCAATCCCGAATCCCGAAGTAATAAAACCCTAAGACCCTACCAACCCTCACCCCCAAACCCCAAACCCGAAACCCGAAACCCTAAACCCGAAACCCTAAACCCTAAACCCGAAACCCTAAACCCTAAACCCGAAACCCTAAACCCTAAACCCCCGTCCCCCAGCTTCGTGCGGCCGCGGCCGCCGCGCGCAGGGTCTTCGCCGGGTTCCCCGGGCTCCCGGAGCCCAGGACTGCCTCCAGGAGTCCTTGCGAAGTCGTTTAGGGTTTAGGGTTTAGGGTTTAGGGTTTAGGGTTTAGGGTTTAGGGTTTAGGGCTTAGGGTTTAGGGTTTAGGGTTTAGGGTTTAGGGTTTAGGGTTTAGGGTTTAGGGTTGAGAATCTTGGGTCTGAGGGTTTAGGGTTTAGGGTCTTAGGGCCAAGGGTTTAGGAATTAGGGTTTCGGGCTTCGGGCTTAGGTCCGAAAGCCCAAGCCCTAAGCCCCCACAGCCCGAACCGAACCCCAAGCTGCAAAATCACAAAAAGCGCAACCACACGCATCACAAAACCCCTGAGCCGCTAGACTCTAAACTTGGGATGTTCCCCTTTATACTAACAGTCCTTAATAGGGATTCTAGTAATGGGGTACTAGAATCCCTATTTTGGACTGTCAGTATAAGGGGGAACATCCCAACTCTAAACCCACGATCGTAGACCCACCCAAACCCCATCCCCTAAGTGGACCCCACTCCAAGGCCAGGAACCAAACCCAAACCCCACAACCAAAGCCCAAACAATGGCTTGACCCTAACCTCGACCCCCTTACAACTCGAAAACCCTGAAACCCTGCAGTCCTACAAGCTAAGATGCCGGTGAACCTTCCATGTGACAACAGTCTCCTGAATTTGATGTCAACATACTTGTGCCAAGAATGTCTGTGATGTCGGCACCTGCTGTTCCTTCTGCCCTGGACCATGCTCTTGCCTCCACCTTTCTCTTCAATGCCATGGGTTCCCTTACTACCCCGTCTACCTGGTTGTCCAGTAACCTGGGGGAATTAAAGGTTAACCTGTGGGACCGTAAGGGGAATATACTACCCAAAAAAGGTTAAAGGTTACCTACTCTACTACTAGGTCTATACTTCCCCCTAGGTAATTGTTCCTAATTGAGGTTGGTTAAGGGGGGAACCTCGGGGTAGTATAGAGAGGGGTCGTAGAAGTTGGCATCTTGCCAGTGGTTTTTGGGGGGATGAGGGTTTAGGGTTTAGGGTTTCGGGTTTAGGGTTTAGGGTTTAGGGTTTAGGGTTTAGGGTGTAGGGTTTAGGGTTTCGGGTGTAGGGTTTAGGTTCCCATGTCGTGGCTGCCGTCCAACCTTGACTGGACTATTGTTCCCCTAAAACTCCAAAAACCCCCCAACACCCCCAAAACCCTGCGACCCTGCAACCCTGAATCCCTGCAAACCTGAAACCTGCAAACCTGAAACCCTGAAACCCTAAAAGCCTAAAAAACCTACAGCCCCACAACCCACCCCACAACCCTAAATCCCCAAAACCCGAACCCCTAAACCCCCAAACCCCAACACTCCAAAACCCCAAACCCCAAAACCCCAAAGCCCCAAACCCCCAAAGCCCCAAAACCCCAAAACCCCAAAACCCCAAAACCCCTAAACCCCTAAACACCCTAAACACCCTAAACCCCTAAACCCCCACACCCCAAAACCCCTAAACACCCTAAACACCCTAAACCCCTAAACCCCCACACCCCAAAACCCCAAAACCCCAAAGCCCAAAAACCGCAAAATCCAAAACCCAAAACCCCTAAACCCCAAAACCCCAAAACCCTAAAACCAAAACCCCTAGACCCCTAAACCCGGTCCGCCCAGCTCTGCGAACTCCGCGGAGCCACAGGAGCTGCCAAGGCCCAACTCCAGGGGGGGAGGACTGGGGTTTAGGGTTTGGGGTTTAGGGTTTAGGGTTTAGGGTTTAGGGTTTGGGGTTTGGGGTTTGGGGTTTGGGGTTTAGGGTTTGGGTTTGGGGCTTAGGGTTTGGGGTTTGGGGTTTAGGGTTTGGGGTTGGGGTTTGGGGTTTGGGGCTTAGGGTTTGCGGCTTGAGGCTTGGGGCTTGGGGCTTGGGGCTTGGGGCTTAAAGGAAGACATGTTGGGCGCACATGGGCCTCCCATTATCTGCTACCGTATTCGGGGAAGCAGCAGTTCCTACAACCCTAAACCCTAAACGCTAAACCCTAAACCCCAAACCCTAAACCCGAAACCCAAAACCCTTGTGGATTTGGGTTGCTTTCGGTAGCTTCGGCTCCTGTGGACTTACAGGGTGGACGGTTCGCTGCTCGCAGTCAACACGTGCACACAGGCGTCGAGGCAAAAGGCTAGAACCCCAAAAGCCCTGAACACCAAACCTCGAAAAGGCAACCCTAAACCCTAACCCCTAAACCCTAAACCCTAAGCCCCAAACCCTGACCCTAAACCCCTCAACCCCTAAACCCCGAAACCCCTAAAAACCCCAAAGCCCCAAACAGACCCCAAGGGCCATCAAGCCCTGAGTCTGCCCTAAACCCTAAAACCTGAAACCCCTTAAGCCCTCAAGCTGCAAACGCCAACCTAAACAGCCGAAAACCCTCTGGGTGTAGGGTTTAGGGTTTAGGGTTTAGGGTTTAGGGTTTAGGGTTTAGGGTTTAGGGATTAGGGATTAGGGATTCGGGATTGGGGTTTAGGGTTTGGGGTTTGGGGTTTAGGGTTTAGGGTTTCGGGCTGAACCCTGGACCCTGCAACCCGTACAGCGGCCGAACACCCAAACAACACCTAAAAGCCTGCTCTAAGGTTCATGGGTACTTCAAAGTAGGTTGGGTGTGCCTTCAATGAGGTTTTGACTGTAACCAATGATAGCTATAGCTACCCTACTTAATCTAGAGACCAGAGTGACCTAGGCGTATGAAAAGGTGCGGCTTTTAGTCTAACGGGCCTTAATTAAAGGCAGACCCTAAACCCTATACCCTAAACCCTAAATCCCAAACCCTAAACCCTAAACCCTAAACCCTAAGCCCTAAACCCTAAACCCTAAACCCTAAACCCTGAACCCCTTGAAGTTTAAAGGCAGGCAGCCTAAACCCTGAACAAAGGGAATGAGGGCCTGCTCTGAGTCGTAGCTCTACTTGTACGTACCTACGAACCTCCCAAAGTACAGGCCTCAAACAACCACAAGCCCCAACCTCGAAACCCTAAACCCTACAACAACCCGTCCAACAAAAAGGCCCTACAACCTAAACCCTAAACCCTAAACCCTAAACCCTAAACCCTAAACCCTAAACCCTAAACCCTAAACCCTAAACCCTAAACCCTAAACCCTAAACCCTACCAAAGCCCTCAAGGAAGGCGCCAGGGTGACCTCCCCCACTGCAGCGGCGGCACCGGCCGCTGCCGCCGGCGTGCCACCTGCCCACAAACCCGTGCTGAGAGCCGGTTGCGGTTTAGGGTTTAGGGTTTAGGGTTTAGGGTTTAGGGTTTAGGGTTTAGGGTTTAGGGTTTAGGGTTTAGGGTTTAGGGTTTAGGGTTTAGGGTTTAGGGCTCAGGTTGCTCTAGGACTTGAGGCTTTAGACCCGGCTTGGTGCTTGAAAACCAACAACGTGTACACTTTCAGTTCTATAGGGAATTAGGGTTTAGGGTTTAGGGTTTAGGGTTTAGGGTTTAGGGTTTAGGGTTTAGGGTTTAGGGTGTAAGGTTTAGGGTTTAGGGCTCAGGTTGCTCTAGGACTTGAGGCATTAGGGCTGGCTTGGTGCTTGAAAACTTTACATAGCTGCTGAGTTCAGAAGCCCCAACAAAGTGTACACTTTCAGTTCTATAGGGAATTATAGTATCCCAAAAAGTGTAAGGTGTACTCACTCAGCTACGAAGTATAGACGGCAGGTTTAGGGCATAGGGTTGATTCTAAGAATGTCGCAAGTTCTCGAGCCGCGAAACTAAAGAGTTGTTCATACGAGCCGCTGCATCGGGTGTTTAGGGTTTAGGGTGTAGGGTTTAGGGTCTAGGGTTTAGGGTTTAGGGTTTAGGGTTTGGGGTTTGGGGTTTAGGGTTTAGGGTTTAGGGTTTAGAAACCTAAACCACGCTACTGGGCTTAGCTCACGCTGAGAGGCTCCTTTAAAGACAACCCAGACCCTATACCCATCAGTCAGTTTGGGTTCAGGGTTCAGGGTTTCGGGTTTCGGGTTTCGGGTTTCGGGTTTAGGGTTTAGTATTAGGGGTACCTTACTGGGGTCCTTATTTCAAGGAACCCTATTATTTGGGGATCTATTTGGGGGGTCCCCTATTTTCGTAAACCCGGCTCTAAGGAACCCATTGAAGGGTTCCAGGGTTTATGAAAACTAAGGAGTAGGTATCCTATATGGTCACCTAATTCTCTCTTCAGCACAAATAAAGCTTGAACCGCACATGTATCTCTCAGATTCGCCTGGAAAGGCGGTCAAGCGGATCCCTTGGGTGAACCTGTGGGGGTCTTAGGGGGTTTAAGGGCAACCCTAAACCCTAAACCCTAAACCCTAAACCCTAAACCCTAAACCCTGAACGGCCGAGGGGGGTTAGGTCACCTTTCGTGCGACGAAAAGAAAATCCTTCAACGAGGACGGGCCTAGAAGCTCGCCGAGGGTGGAAAATGGCTGCTGGAGGCCGCAGAGCCTGGGTGTGTTCGGGGTTGAGGTTTAGGGTTTAGGGTTTAGGGTTTGGGGTTTAGGGTTTAGGGTTTGGGGTTTAGGGTTTAGGGTTTAGGGTTTAGGGTTTGGGGTTTGGGGTATAGGGTTTAGGGTTTTGGGTTTTGGGTTTGGGAATTGAACAGCGTGAGCCCTAAGCCATGTTGCCCACTGGATGCCGGCGAGCCATTAAAACTGCAACATGACATCCGAAGCCAGCTGACGCAAAGAGCTAAAGCGGTTTGGGCTTAGGCAAAGTTTAGGGCTTGGGATTCTGCTAGAAATACTTCTGCCATCGTGAGCCACGGCCCCGAACAGCTGCTCTTGTTGATTGTTGACTTAAATGCTCCGGAATACTTTTTGGCCTGCTGCGATGTGCTGCATCTACAGGCAAACATCGCGATGGACTTTTCCAAAGTCGCTAATCAGGACGCAGGCGCACAGGACAAGGTGCGTGCAGGATTGACACGCAGACTAGACCTTCGACCCTAAACCGCTCTGTAACCTTGAAAGCGCACACCGTAAGACCACAATGGCATGACACATCGGTGTTATTCTAATAGCACGTCTACAGAACGCAGAATTGGCACAGCGACTGACAATTTTAACGAGGAGGTCCCGAAAAGCTCTCGAGCCAGCAAAGCCACCCTGAGAAGTTGGGCTCGAAAAGCCCGAGCCCAACCCTAAACTCTGAGCCGACGTTTAGGGTTTAGGGTTTCGGGTGTAGGGTCGGGGTTTAGGTTTAGGGCTTTGGTTTCACGGTTAAGCGTTTTGACCTTATGCCTGGTCAATAAAGTATGCCCACCCACACCGGCGAGCCCCCAGGACCCCCCCCCCCCGCCCCGCCCCGCCTCCTGCAGCCTACTGGCCTCGGTCTGCAACCCTGGAGCCTAAAGCCTAAACCGCCCGTCTCACCGCAAACACCAAAGACTTTTGCTTTCGGGCATCACATAGCGTTCGGGGTCAGGGCTTCGGGTTGTAGGACTTCAGGTTTAGGCCTGCTAAATGCCTGAACCCTAAACCCTAAACCCTAAACCCTAGACCCTAGACCCTAGACCCTAAACCCTTGACTCAACTTCTCAACGCCCAGGTACTCCTCAACCAGGCGCTGGCTATCTGGGAGCGCCCCGTCCTGAGTGAGAAGGCTGCTGAGTGGAAGATGCAGAAATTTAGAGAGTAGGGTTTAGGGTTTAGGGTCTTGGGGTTTAGGATTTAGGGTCTGGGGTTTAGAGCTTAGGGTTTAGGGTGTAGGGTGTAGGGATTAGGGTTCAGGGCTTGGGAAGTGCAATCCTGCTTGCTAGAACCTAATTCCATGTACCGGACTCGACCCGTTAATAGTGGCTTCCGCTCGAATGCCCATAATGCTCTACTCGTCTCCAAACCCTCAAAGCCTGCAAAGCCCTAAAACCCTCAAAGCCCTTAGAGCCCTGAAAACCCTTGACACCCTAAACCCTACCCCTAAACCCTAAACCCTAAAACCTAAACCCTAAGCCCTAAGCCCTCAACCCTAAGCCCTAAGCCCTAAACCCTAAACCCTAAACCCTAAACCCTAAACCCTAAACCCTAAACCCTAAAACCCTAAACCCTAAACCCGAAAAACCCTAAACCCTAAACCCTAAAAACCCTAAAAACCCTAAAAACCCTAAAAACCCTAAAAACCCTAAACCCTAAACCCTAAACCCTAAACCCTAAACCCTAAACCCTAAACCCTAAACCCTAAACCCTAAACCCTAAACCCTAAACCCCAACAACAACCCTTTAAAACACCAAATCGCACTAGACAGCCGAGGCGCGACCGCCCAGCGCGACGCGCAGAACGCAGCCGCGCCACGTAGTGCCGCAGAAGGCGCCGCCGCGGCCAGTCGCTTCCTGAGAGGGCTTGGAAGGCTTTTGGGGTTTAGGGTTTAGGGTTTAGGGTTTAGGGTTTAGGGTTTGGGGTTTGGGGTTTGGGGTTTGGGGTTTGGGGTTTGGGGTTTAGGCTAAGTCGCACTCCTTCATGTTCTGAGGCGAGGGTGAGGCACAAACAATGACTTTGGCTGCTTTAGGGTTTAGGGCTTAGTGTTTAGGGATTAGGGTTTAGGGTTTAGGGTCTAGGGTCTAGGGTCTGGGGTCTAGGGTTTAGGGTTTAGGGTTTAGGGTTTAGGGTTTAGGGTTTAGGGTTCAGGGTTCAGGGTTCAGGGCAGAAATGTGTGTGTACAGCAGTATCTCATGTGGCCGAGGGTGGCAATAGAGCTCAGGCAACGACCTAAACCCTAGACCCTAGACCCTAGACCCTAAACCCTAAACCCTAAACCCTAAACCCTAAACCCTAAACCCTAAACCCTAAACCCTAAACCCTAAACCCTGAACCCTGAACCCTGAACCCTAAACCCACCCACTGTTAAACCCATCGGGCCCTGAAGTCTCCACCCTAAGAAACCCTAAAATTCCTGCCCTCAACCGTAACCTTAGTGATAATGATAATGATAATGATAATAATAATAATATATAATATAATATAATATAATATAATATAATATAATATAATATAATATAATATAATATAATATAATATAATATAATATAATATAATATAATATAATATATTATTATTAGGATACAAGGTCCTAGCCCTAAACCCTACTACCCTGAACACGAGACAAAGCCCCTGACTTACAAGCCTTACAGTATACAAGTGAGCCCTAAAAGATTATGGAACCAGAAATAAACAGTTAAACACGAATATCATACCCGTAGAGAAAATCATAGGTGCAGAGGGGGGGAGAGAGAGAGAGAGAGAGAGAGAGAGAGAGAGAGAGAGAGAGAGACACACACACACACACACACACACACACACACACACACTCGAAACTCTAAGTTTATACAGCCCAGTAACCACAGAATTACTAACTAAGGGTACCCTTGTTGGGCTTGGCTACTTGACAAAGGAACCTAAAAGCAAAAAAGGAGGGCACGCCCAAACCCTAAGCCCTTAACCCTTCACCCTAAACCCTAAACCCCGAAACCTAAACCCTCAGCAGACAGCCCAGAAGCCCCCAAAACTTGAACTACAGACCAGGCTCCACAACCCTAAGCCCTAAACCCTAAACCCCAAACCCTAAACCCTAAACCCTAAACCCTAAACCCTAAACCCTTAAGTAAAGACAGGGCTCCACAACTCCGCACATCGCCCCGCGTCGCCGGCGTGCTCCGCCGCGCTGATCAGCGCAGAGAGAACGCCTGTCTGGGGTTCACGGTTTACGGTTTACGGTTTAGGGTTTAGGGTTTAGGGTTTAGGGTTTAGGGTTTTTGGGTTTAAGGGTTTAGGCTTCAGGGTTTAGGGTTGAGTAGTTGGATGTGTGAGGGTTTAGGTTTGCGGGGTTGAAGGATTGAGGATTGAGGTTTAAGGGTCGTTGAGGCTTGGCTGAGGTTTAGGGTTGAGAGAGAGGGATTATTGGCCTCGCGGGTTTAGGGATTGAGGGCTGAGGAGCTTTAGGGGGTCTAGGGTCTAGATTTTAAAGCGTTTTGCTTGGAGCTTTCGGGCTTAAGGCCCACATATTTCTATACAACACCTACAAATGTTATAGGTTTGCAGCCAGCTTTTCAGGGCTTGTTGAGGGCTTACTCAGAGGCTTCAAAACCTTAAACCCTAAGCCCTAAACCCTAAACCCCAAACCCCAAGCGCTAAACCCTAAACCCTAAACCCTAAACCCTAAGCCCTACTGCAGGCAAGCTGCACCAGCCCACACACTAAGGGCGAAAGCCAGGCCAGGGTCACTGTTTTTTTCATGGCAAAGGTCGCTATGAAGCCTAAACCCTAAACCCTAAACCCTAAACCCTAAACCCTAAACCCTAAACCCTAAACCCTAAACCCTAAACCCTAAACCCTACACCTAAAGACCCATAAAACCTCTTCCAAAAAAAACACCGAAACGCCCACGAAAGGTGAGCTGCCCAAGGGGCGGGGCTCCGCCGCATCTTTGGCAATCCGCTGTGCCTCCTGTTTGGGCATTCAGGGTTTAGGGTTTAGGGTTTAGGGTTTAGGGTTTAGGGTTTAAGGTTTAAGGTTTAGGGTTTAGGGTGTAATGTTTTGGTTTAGGGTTTAGGGTTTAACGTTTGGGTTTAGGGTTCAGGGTTTAGGGTTTTAGGGTTTAGGGTTTTAGGGGTTTAGGGCTTTCGGGCTTTAGGGCTTTAGGGCTTTAGGGTTTTGGGGTTTTAGGGTTTTAGGGTTTTAGGGTTTTTGGGGTTTAGGGTTTTAGGGTTTTAGGGTTTCAGGGTTTTAGGGTTTTAGGGTTTTTGGGTTTTTGGGTTTTAGGGTTTTAGGGCTTTAGGGTTTTAGGGTTTTAGGGTTTTAGGGTTTTAGGGTTTTAGGGCTTTAGGGTTTTAGGGTTTTAGGGTTTTAGGGTTTTAGGGTTTTAGGGGTTGAAGGTGCTCCGGATTTAGAGATACGGGTTTAGGGATTTACTTGCATCCGTTGTGTGAGAGCTGCTAGCGAAACTTTACGGAGGTATGAAGCCCCTGGGACCCCAAGAGTACTTCCAAACCTGCAGGGAACGACTGCGGTCGAACCCTTGTCGCTGTTCTCGGGCTGAAACGGGCGGCCGCCCGTGCTAACCCGAATCGGGAGACTGGAGCCCAAAGGAAAACTAAAGGGGAAGCCAGGACCTAGCAGACAACAGTCTGCAAAGGATGGGAAACCCAAACCTAAAGGACACGACTCAGGTCAAGTCCAAGCGGTTTAGAGATTCGGCTTCGGAGCTTAGGGTTTAGGGTTTAGGCCCCTGCTACGACTTGGGCTTCGGAGTGGTCGTCGGGAGTATGTAGTCACACAGGGAACCCGACAGGGCTTCGGCCTAGGGATTCAGGGTTAGAGGGTGTTAGGGTTTTTGGGTTTAGGGCTCAGGGGTCAGGGCTTCGGGGGTTTTGGCATTTTGGGGTTTGGGGGTTTTTGGGGTCCTATGTGAAGGAGGGTAAATATTTCTTGTACCCCCAAAAGGACACCCGGTATATACACTCGCCAATATTAAAGAGGAACTTTATATACACTCACCAAAGCCAGTAAAATAAACCCTGTTTCATTTGATGCCACAAGGTGGTGCCCGGGGGTCAGCAGAGCAACCAGGATGGCAAGAAGCACGACCATGAAACCTACGTCATCTCCATGCTGGATGCGCTGTGGCTACAGCAAGAAAATTGGCTGCGGGATCACCCTGATACCCTAAACCCTAAACCCTAAACCCGAAACCCTAAACCCTAAACCCCTCTCACCAGCCTCGTTTCTGCAGCATTTTACATGCGCTGGCAACGTCTTGTTTGCGGAGTTGGGTCACCCAGGCGATGGGATCGGAAGGCTGTGTCCCTTCTTTCCGGGACCTGTGCGCCTGTGATCGGAGCAGCCCGTTCTCCGATTTCTGCAGAAGTTCCTACGTGGAAGTGGATTGACATCCCTTCTTAAGCCCTCTCCTTCTTAAGCCCTCTCGGACTGCGGTCTGCTAGGTCCCTCCCCTCTTGGGTTTCTCCCTCCTTAGGTCCTGGTTCCTCCTTTTGGGTTCCTCAGGCGCCTGCCTCCTTTTAGTACCCTAAAACTCGGACCCCCCCTTTAGAGAGCCCACCCCCCTTCCACCACCCCTTGACCTCGTAGAAGCCACTCCGGGCCAGTGCCCTGCACGTGGTGGCCAGCTGCTGCGGCGAGAGGGCCTTGGGTTCAGGCTTTCGGTTCAGGGCGAACCCTGAACCCCTAAATCCCTAAACCCCCTACACCCCCAAACCCTAAACCCTACAACCTACACCGTAACCCTAAACGGCTCAGGGTCTTACAATTTTGGGGTTCCGGGCTTAGTCTGGGCTGAGTGAGGGTTTGGGCTTGGGTGTGTGGAGGGGCTTAAGTCGATAAGCCTTGCGATGTTCGCCCTTTTACTAACTGTCCTTAATCATTAGTAGGGATTATGGCACCCCCCCATTATAATCACGATTTGAGGACTCTTAGTTTAAGGGGGAACATCCAAAGACAAGCCCTATCTGGAACGTGACAACATGTACCTGAAACCCAAACTCCGACACAAGCTCAGGAATGAAACATCAACTGCACATACTTCCAATACCCCTCTCAACCCGAAACTCTGAGACTAACACCCAGACCCCGAACCCGGCAAACACACCCTGACACTCGCAAGAAAAAGAGTAAGAACACAAGAAACCAACTGTGCAGTTTAGGGTTTAGGAATATGGTTTAGTGTTTAGGGTTAGGGGAGGTTTGGGGTGGAACGGGGCATTTAGGCTCTTCGGTTCATTTTGGGTATGTTTGCTGGGCGTTGAGGGATCTAGGGAGGCTGCTAGAAAGGGTATTTGGGGTCTCTTCGGCTTTCCTTTCGGGTGTTGAGGCGAATGAAGGCGTCGGGGTTTTGAGGTTTAGGGCACAGGGCTTAGGCCCGACGGGTTTTCTGGTTCAGGGCTTAGGGTCCTTTGTCTTTATTTAGGGGTTTTAGCGGCTCCAAGGTTAAGGATTCTAGGATTTTTGGGTCAAGCCAAAACCCGAAACCCTAAACCCTAAACCTCCAGACCGATTTTGGGTCAAGCCTGAACTTTCGGCACGCCCTCAAGCCTATACAAGCTGAAAGCCACATATAATACCCTAAACCCTAAACCCTAAACCCTGAACCCCAAACCCTAAACCCTAAACCCTTAACCCCAAAACCCTAAACCCTAAAACCCAAAACCCATAAAACCCTAAACCCCAAACCCCAAACCCCAAACCCTAAACCCTAAACCCTAAATAAACCCTAAACCCTAAAGCCCCAGACCCTGAAACTGAAGGCAGGGGGGCCTCCCGGTCTGCAAGGGAGGCTTCGAGCAGCCCCACGAGCTGCCTCCGAGAGGGGCTTCAGGATAGGGTTTAGGGTGTAGGGTTTAGAGTTTAGGGTTTACGGTTTAGGGTTTAGGGTTTAGGGTTTAGGGTTTAGGGTTTAGGGTTAGCGATAGGGGTTTAAGGTTTAGGGATAAGGGTTTAGGGTTTAAGTGGGTTGAACCCACAGGAACAAGTTGCGCCCGATGGATCTCAAACACCATTTGGAGGCTCACGGCATCCAACCCTAAACCCTAAACCCGAACCCTAAACCCTAAACCTTTAAACCCTAAACCCCGCCAACCCTTGTCACGAGACGCACCGTTGGAGGGTGGCCAGTGGGACTCAGTGCTGGTTCGAAACCATGGCACTTGGTCCGATACCTAAACCATACACCTAAACCATAAGCCCTAGATTGGAATGTTCCCCCCTATCCTAACAGTCCTTAGTGGGGATTTTGGTACCCCTAGTATAATCCCTATGAAGGAGTGTTAGCATAGGGGAGAACATCCCAAGCCCTAGACCCTAAACCCCAATCCTAAACTCCAAACCTCACGAGGCGAGGGAGAGCTTGGAGGTTTAGTGCTTGCAGCTCCCTAAACCCTAAACCCTAAACCCTAAACCCTAAACCCTAAACCCTAAACCCTAAACCCTAAACCCTAAACCCCTCTGGAGATTGTCGCAGCCTGGAGCTGCTCTTCCTGTCCAGCTCCGACATCCCCGCGTCGCCATTCGTTGGCTTGCCTTGGTTTCGGATTTAGGGTTTAGGGTTTAGGGTTTAGGGTTTAGGGTTTAGGGTTTAGGGTTTAGGGTTTAGGGTTTAGGGTTTAGGGTCTTTAGGGTTTTTAGGGTTTTTAGGGTGTTTAGGGTTTATAGGGTTTATATGGTTCATAGGGTTTAGGGTTCAGGGTTCATAGGGTTCAGGGTTTCTAGGGTTTTTAGGGGGGGTTTAGAGGGCTTTATGGGGGGCTTACAGGGGGTTTAGCGGGGTTTATAGGGTTTATAGGGTTTATAGGGTTTATAGGGTTTATAGGGTTTATAGGGTTTATAGGGTTTATAGGGTTTATAGGGTTTATAGGGTTTATAAGGTTTATAGGGTTTATAGGGTTTATAAGGTTTATAGGGTTTATAGGGTGTATAGGGTTTCTAGGGTTTCTAGGGTTTATAGGGTTTATAGGGTTTATAGGGTTTATAGGGTTTATAGGGTTTATAGGGTTTATAGGGTTTATAGGGTTCAGAGGGTTTAGGGGGTTTATAGGGTTTAGGGTTTAGGGAAAAGGGTCTAGGGTCTGGGGTTTAGGGGCACTTTTTCGCTCAGCCGCTGTTCGCAAACCCTGAAAGGTTGGAACACCCCTAAACCCTAGACCCACCTCCTTGAACCTTCAGTCCTTGGCTTTGAGGCTTCAAGGGGCTTTTGGCTCCAAGGCTCAGGAGGATCGTTTAGGGTTGAAGTTAGGGTTTATGGTTTTTGCTGCAGGGGCTTGCAGGCTGACTGAGTGAGTGAGTGCGTGACTGAGTGAGTGAGTGAGTGAGGAGCAACCTCCAGGTGAAGGCCTCGCCACACGGCATCATGGCGAGCATCCTACCGGAGTAAACTCCGTCCAGCACAGTCCAGCAAGTTGGCGGCATGGATGCAGATCAAGCGCGCTCAAGCAGCAGCCTCTCAAACATCAGAAAACCGGCATTTCCAGATTTTTACCAGAGGCAGAGACAGAGAGGGACAGAGACAGAGAGGGTGGGCGAGAGAGAGAGAGAGAGAGCGAGAGAGACAGAGAGTGACAGAGAGACAGAGAGAGAGAAAGTGAGAGTGTGAGAAAAGGGACCGAGAAAAAGAGAAAGAGACGAAGTTGAGTATGGAGCCGTACAGAGGCGCAATCCGCCGCCACACCTGCTGCCCACACGCTACTCCCATCGAAGCGGCCACAGGGAAATGGGGGGCTATTTGGGATGCGGGTTGCCCTGGATTACCCTCAACACTAAACCCTACCCCTAAACCTTAAACCGAAACCCTAAACCCTAACCCTAAAACCCTAGGGTTAGGGTGAACCCTAGACCCTAGACCCTAAAACCAAGCCCCGCAGCATAACCCTTCAGGCATGACAGCAGTTTCGGGCTTGAGGCTTCTAGGGCTTGGGCGCCAAGATCGGTTGCGAAGGTACTGGCATCCAGCATGGCCAAGAGGGACGTAAGGAGGTTCACAAAGCTCACCTTCGATGTGAACTGGGCTGTTCCCCCCACAATACGAAGAGTCCTGAAGAGGGATTATAGTACTCCCCCCTACTAAAAACCCCAATAAAGGCCTGTGAGCATCAGGGGGAACATCCCAATGAGAGAATCGCCGAGTCATGGTCTCTTGCGAAGCTTCCCATGGCTACGTGAAGCTTCAGGCTTTGGTTCTGGCTCTTCCTTTTCTTCTTTCTCGCCCTCTCTCTCTCTATCTCTGTCTCTCTCTCTCTCTCTCTCTCTCTCTCTCTCTGTCTCTCTGTCTCTTTCTCCCGTGCCTCCCGCCCCCCCCCTCCCCTCCCGGCCCAAACAACAAAGAGGCTAAGCACACACAACAAAAACACAGACACTCGAAAAACAAACTACCAACAAAAATTAAAACTGACAACCGGAACTCGCGGAATGGGTGGCGTTGTCCACCTCCTCGACGCGCTGGCGCGCGATCACCAGCAGGTCCTGCTGAACCTCCTCAGGGCCAGGTCTGCAAGTAGAAGGGCTCCGGGTTTAGGGTTTGGGGCTTAGGGGTAGGGTTTAGGATTCAGGGTTTAGGGTCTACCTAGACGAGTTCTTGAAGTAGGAACTAACTGGTTAAGCACTTCATGCATGCCCCCTTGTAGAAACCCAGTTGAGGGGTTTGGTATTGGGTTTCCGACTCCCGATTTGTCTACTAATACCCGGAGCCATGACCCTGTCAGTTCAAGCGCAGGGCTTTGGGGTTTAGGAGGTCTGTTGGGGGTCTAGGATAGGGTTCAGGGTTTTCGGGTTTGGGGTTTGAGGGCTTTTGAGGTTTGAGCGCTTTTTGGGGTTTGACGGCTTTTGGGGTTTGAGGGCTTCTGGCGGGGGAGTTGTGGGCTTTTTTGGGCTTCGGGGGTTTAGGGCTTTTGGGGCTTTCGGCTTTTGGGTTTTCGAGATCTTGCAGTCTGAGAGCTTCAATCCTAGAACCCTGCAGCCTTATAGCCCAAAGCACCGGTAGACCTAGAACCCTAGGGTTTATGGCTCAGGGTTTAGGGTTTCGGGCTTAGGGTTTAGGATTTAGGGTAAGCGCCCCCCCAGAATCAAAAATCTAGCCATTCCAACCCGGTGGGATCCTGTGAGCCGGCCTCAAGCTTTGAAACATGGAGGTTGAAGGTTTAGAGGTTTAGGGTTCAGGGTTTAGGGTTTAGGGTTTAGGGTTTAGGGTTTAGGGTTTAGGGTTTAGGGTTTAGGGTTTAGGGTTTAGGGTTTAGGGTTTTCTATATTTTTGTTTGAGGGCGGGGGAGGTTAAGGGTTTCGGGGGCTTTTTGGGGATTGGGGGGCCCGGGGCTTTCTAGGATTTAGGGGCCTGGCGTACCTCAGCACCTTAGACCCTAAACCCTAAACCCGAAGCCCTAAACCCTAAACCCTAAACCCTAAACCCTAAACCCTAAACCCTAAACCCTAAACCCTAAACCCTAAACCCTGAACCCTGAACCCTGAACCCTGAACCCTGAACCCTGAACCCTAAACCCTAAACCCTAAACCCTAAACCCTAAACCCTCACCCGTGGGCTCCTGGTCCACTGCCCGGAATTTGGCGAAAGCCCAGGCGATGGCGCAGAACTCATCGGCCTGGAAAGTCCAGAGCTTGCCACCTCTACCTGAGCTGAGGGGCAGCTAGCCTGAACCCTAAACCCTAAACCCTGAGCCCTAAGCCCTAAACCCTAAACCCTAAACCCTAAACCCTAAACCCTAAACCCTAAACCCTGAGCTTGGGGGCATTTTGGCGGCAGTTGGGGGGGGGGGGGGGGCTCGTTGCCGACTCCCTAAAACCCCCGCAACTCCGGATAACTTCAGGCGACGGACCCGATTCTAACAGCCACAAAATCCACAACTCCCACCCGTGACACACTGTCAGAACCCAGACCCTCTAGCAGAGGGCTTAAGCTAAAGGGCTTGGACCCTACACCCTAAACCCTAGACCCTAGACCCTAAACCCTAGACCCTAGACCCTAGACCCTAGACCCTAAACCCTAAACCCTAAACCTTTCACCCTAATTTGGGATTGTTGGCTTTAGCCCTCTCAAGGGCTGCTGAGATGCACGCGTGCGTCAGGGCGCGCACCAGGTTTGGATCGTGCAGCTCCACACATGCGAAGGCCCAAGCGCAGTTCCTGGGAATGTCGGGTTTAGAGTTTGGGGTTTAGGGTTTAGGGCTTAGGGTTTAGGAGGGGCCCACCTGAACCGCGTGTGCAAAAACCACTGGACCTACAACCCCCAAAAAACTTAAACCCTCAAGCCAGACCGAGACCCCAAAAAAAACCTGAAACCTCTCCCTTTGGAAAAAAGTTCTTACCCTCGTTCCTAAACCCAAAAACCTAAACCCTAAACCCTAAATTCCCAGGAACCCAGTTCCTTCTCATTACGCAATAGATCTGCTCCCTAGCGTGCCCCCCCACCCACCCCGAAGCAGTCGAAGCCGACTTGTCCCTCGTTATATGCTCCTCCCGGATTTGAAATATGGTTTGAAAAGGGATGATTTGATGTACTACACTAACACATTTTGAGGGTGTCCGAAAAAAGGGGGTAAGGGGATTCTCATCTATTTGGGGTATAAGAGGGGTACCCCATTTTGGGAAAGGCCCATGTTTAAAGGGTTCAGAAAGGAAGAAGAAGCACTGCCTGAGGGGTGAAGGCTTAGGGGACCCCCTAGTTTTTTGCAAGCCAACAGGCCAGGCCTTTGAAATCCAAGCCAAGGCTCCCTCGCCTTAAGGCTTGGGGGTTTACTCTGAACCCTGAACCCTGAACCCTAAACCATAAACCCTAAACCCTAAACCCTAAACGCGCATATCAAGCTTGAAACACAAAAGGCCAAGGCTTTGAAGTCCCAAGGCGCGCGCCCCGACCTGCATAAGCCCACCCACGCTGGCGCTCCACTCTCGCCTTAACCCCTACGGGTTTAGGGTTTTTTTGAACTCTGATCGTGCCTTTGGTGTTTTTCTCTTTTGAAATGGTTGGGTCGGCCACAAGTCAGAGGTTTGGGATTGGGATTGGCTGCCGCCTTCGCCCTTGGCGATGCTGCATCCCGGAAAACTTGCTTGGAAGGGCCTCAAGTCAGAAGTTTGGGATGGGGGTTGCTGCCGCCTACTTGCTGATGCTGCATCTGGAAGGCCTTGTTTGGGAGGCGTGGTGGCCTTGTCATGCCTTGCGCGAAGGTCAACAAGTGAGAGGTTTGGGATTGGGGCTGGCTGCCGCCTTCGCCCTTGGCGATGCTGCATCCTGGTTGGGGATCTGGATCACTTGCTTGGAAGGGCCTGAAGTCAGAGGTTTGGCATGGCGCCTTCGCCCTTGCTGACGCTGCTTGTTTGGCGTAGCTGAGCTGCCGCGCGCAGGCAGGGGAGGTCAGGGTTTTTGCGTTCAGCCCGAAGGTTAGTTGGAGGTCCCTGCGTTTGGCCCGAAGGTTTGGGGCGTCTTCTTGCTTATCTTCCACGAAAGTGCAAAACGCCTGCAGCGGTTTCGGAGTTAAACTGTACAAAGCACTCTCCTAGAGGCATCTTCGGGGCATTACAGGGGTGTGTAGCGTTTGCCACCCCGCCTCTTTTATCCTGATATTCAGGGTCAAAAGACAACAAACTGTTCAAGCGAGCTGCAACTTCTGCAGGCTGCTTTCAGACTAGCGAATATGCACTATGCACAGAAAATCGCTCTCAAAAGTCTCGTACTTGCATTCCAAATGCAAAGTAAAAATATGTTCAGGTGTACTCAAAGTACACTCACGTTCTGGAACCTAGTGCACTCGACGATCTAATCGCGGCGAAACACATTTTCGGACAAACGAATTCACAAACGAATTGAAAAACTAGTTTCTTGAAACATCTGCACCATGCTACATGCACCGCTCGGTGATGTCGTCACGACACACAACTACACAAGCCAGCATGCTCCACACGCCAAGCGCTGTACACTGCTCTCACTTTCATATCTCATTTCTCACAAGGCTGATGTGGGCAAAGCCTGCACATCGTAAAGTGCCTTTCCAAACTGCTCACTATTCTCGCACGGTTGTTGCACGGAAACTCAAGTATGTACGATTTGTTCCGTGAAGTTGTGTTTCAAGATTTCGAATTTCGTACGCCTCTCCGGGACATCTCATAGGCATGTCATGTCATAAGCTTGATAAACGCTCGCCAGCCATCATCTTCAGGGTTTGCACACCTTGCAGGCAACCATACCCAGGTACATGGCTTGCTGTCGCGTAACCTGGCTCACCCCATTGGCTCCATACATTTTGCTGCATGCGCAACGATGAAACTTTCGTCCATTTTGGCTGCAGATCCAAACCTTGCCAAACTTGCTACGAGTTCTCAACCTCACAGCTTCGGTTCCATATTCGAGCTCCTCAACATCCGAAATCGACGGAGCATGCACCGGTGGAGATAACTGCTGCTCCGAACTTGAACTCAAATGGACACGCACGTTCACAGGACCACTCAAGTTCTGCTGAAAAGGGGTCTGTGGCGCAGGGACTTGTTCCGGCTCCTTCTGCTGCACCACTGCGGCACCACCAGTTTGCCGGTGTATTTGGAATACGCTGCTCTCATCTTTCGTTTGTCTCGAGACTCCATCAAACGCAATCGTGTAGGGGAATTGCAGATATTGAACCTTGCTCTTCTCCAGTGTCTCTTCCATCTCCTTGTTGCCATGGCCAAATCCACAGCTTTTGTAGCAATAGCACACCAATGCCACGCTCAACAAGACTGAGGTAACCGTCATCAACAGCACTGCAATGCTTAGCATCCACAACCAAGCATCCAGCATTGTCCAACTGCTGGTCTCATCAGTGCTTTCAAGCACCGTCACTGCCGCGCACTGGCCCAAGGCGTCAGCAACAATCACTGCAATCAAATCGAACTTTCTGTGGGCTCATCTTCGAACTTTCTGTGGGCTCAAACCAACGCCATGAATGCAAGAAGCCTTCATAGCGCGCTTCATTGCTTCTTCATGCTCAAAGTTGTCTCGTTCTTCCTGACCAATGTGCTCATAGGGCTCAAGGTCACGGGCGCCAAGCATGTTCAACAGGACTAGCGTGCGATGTCTCGGAACCTTGAGGCTCGGCAGGAGTTGGGCTGAAGGAAGCACGTGGCCTAGGTTAAGATGCGCTCAGGACTTTGGAGATGCATTAGTGCTTCAAGTTTGAGTAAGCCCGAAATCATCAATCCAATAGCTCGAAGCCGAAAGAGTAAGCGCTCGTAGACCCTAAACCCCTCTGAACCTTAACGTCGACAGCCTAAACCCGGTTAAAGCTTCAGGGAACCCGCAGCAGCCCCCTTTCGTAGGTGGCGAAGATGTCCTGCAGGCCTAACCCCCTCCAGAGAACGTGAGTGCTGGGCCTGGATCGCCATCGCTTCCACCGCGCAGCCTCAAGAAGAAGCTGCGTGCGCTTGATCCCGCAGGACGATTACGACACCCCCACCACCTTGTTCAAGAAAAGAGTCATCCGTGCGCAGAGTTCAAGCTCTTCATAAGAAACCCCAAGGTTCAAAGTTTCGGGGATTCGGGGGTTTTCAGCTTATCTGGGAGCCCAGGCCGCTTTCACGCGGCAGACATGCCGCATTGCCGCCGCGCCGCAGTGCGTGGCCTTCATGGCCGTCACGGCGTCTGTATCTCAGGGTTTTGATGGGTTTTGGCTTCCCAGGATTCAGGGCCTCTGCTCAGATTGGTGTTTGTACGCAGGCCGAAGGACGCGTGCTGGAAGCGTTTGTCTTCATGCTTCGGAACATGTCCAGCTTCCTCACTCGGATTGAGTTTCCTGAACCGGCTCAAAAAGTAACCATCACTTCCAAGGACACATCCGGTCTCCTGCATCGACAAGTTTCCAAAGCCTAAAGCCTACGCAAACTGGATCGCACGGATGCAGAAACCTACGAACCAAAACACGTTCGGCTGGGAGCCCATGCATCAGCAGGCTTCTCCTTATAGCGCCGAACGTGAGGCGAAACCAAGCTACGAACAACTCCTGTTGCCGCCTGGATTCCGGGTCGAGCATGTTGGACCGCAGATATGCAAAGAATATTGCATCCTCCGCCTCCTGAGCTGCCTGAAGAGAGAGAGAGAGAAAGAAAGAGAGAGAGAGAGAGAGAGAGAGAGAGAGAGAGAGAGACAGTGCTAAGGCGGTTGAAGTTGCAACTGCTCTAAAGCCCCAACGCCGAACGCCTCTACTCACAGGCATATGGGCCAGATGGCCAGGCTCGTGCTGAATCTCGAACTATTTTGTAGTCCCGTTGGTCCGACACCTACACTTGCCCAGGTCTTCTCAGGCTGAGCAGCCCGCAGCTGCCTGCGGGACTGGAGCTCCGTCGGCCGCCGGAGGGTTTCTGGCTCTGGGGCTGCCTCGCCTGCCGGCTTCGGCACGTTCGCGCTGCTCGACGGCCCCGGGCTCACTCAGTTTAGGGTTTAGGGTTTAGGGTTACGGGTTTAGGGTTTAGGGTTTAGGGTTTAGGGTTTAGGGTTTCGGGTTTAGGGCTGGGGGATTAGGGCTTAGGGCTTACGGCTTAGGGCTTAGGGCTTAGGGTTTGGGATGTTCCCCCTCATACTAACAGTCCTTAATAGGGATGATAATCGGTGGGGTACTAAATTCCTATTAAGGACTGGTAGTTTAAGGGGGAACATCCCAACTTAAATCCTTAAACTCCTAAACCTTAAAGCTCGAAATCCGTAAGTCCTTAAACCCTCCACCCCTTCCAAACCCTACCTAAATTCCTAAATTCCTAAGTTCCTCAACCTCAAAACTCTGAATCCGTGAATCCCTAAACCCTCCACCCCTTCCAAACCCTAAACCCTAAACCCGAATCCTAAACCCTAACCCTAAACCCTAAACCCTACAACTTTCAGCTTCCAAAGCCCAGGCAAGTGCTGGTCACGGCTCGCAAGATGCTGCGGCTCGAGAACGCTGGCGTGCCTCTCTGCAGAGGGCTTCGGATTGAGGGCTGAGGATGTGGGGGCTTTTTCGGAGGGGTTTAGGGTATAGGGTTTGGGGTTTAGGGTTTAGGGTTTAGGATTTAGGGTTTAGGGTTTAGGGTTTAGGGCTTCGGGATGAGGGTTGGGGATGTCGGGTTTAGGGGCCTTTAGGGTCTGTTAGGGGCTTAGAGGCCTTTCTGGGCTGAGAGGCTTTCGGGGCTTCGGGGGGCTTAGGAGCTTTTGGGGGGCTCAGAGGCATTTAGGGGCCTAGCGGCTTTTTAGGGGCTTGGAGATTATTAAGGGTTTAGAGGCTTTTGGGGGCCTAAGTGGATTTTAGGGTCTTTTTGAGAGCTTAGGGCCTAAACCCAAGTAAGAAGCCCCAAACCCTAAACCCTAAACCCTTAGCCCTAAACCCTAAACAACCCTAAACCCTAAACCCGAAGCCCTAAACCTTGCTTTTCGGTGGCTTAAGGGCTTTTTGGAGGGTCTCTAGAGTCCTCAGAGCTGCTTCGGCTACATGAGGCAAAGCGCTAAGTCGTGAACCCTTAGCCCTGAGCCCTTTGAGCCCTAAACCCTAAACCCGAAGACCTAAGCCCCTAAACCCTAAACCCTAAACCCTAAACCCTAAACCCTAAACCCTAAACCCTAAACCCTAAACCCTAAACCCGATGCCACGCCTCACCACAAAGCCGGCGAGTTGGTCGAAAAGCCTCGCAGTACACAGAAGGCTTGAGGGCGCTTACCTGGAGGTTCATGGGTACTTCTCGGTGGGCAGCCCTAAACTCTAAACCCTAAACCCTAAACCCTAAACAAGGATGTGTAGAACCAGCCAGAACTACAGCTAACCCCTGCTTATAGCATATAAGCACCCATGAACCTCCAAGTAGGGGCTTTGGGGAGCCTTAGGGAGTCGTGGGGAGTAGTAGGGAATCTTGGGTTCCATACCCCCCCTTGAGCCCCCCTCCCTGAAGAGCCCTATCAAAATAGCGGGGCGGGGAAGGTGCGACTTGATGGCATGCCTTTAGAAGCTCACAGGGACTGGATGCTGAACCCTGAGCAGTGAAGCCCTAAACCCTAAACCCTAAACCCTAAACCCTAAACCCTAAGCCCTAAACCCTAAACCCTAAACCCTAAACCCTAAACCCTAAACCCTAAACCCTAAACCTTAACCTGCTTTCGGGATAATGTGAGCCCTTTTGGAGTCGTACAACAGATGAGCCACGGCCGGTGCGCCACCCGTGCGGCCGCAAAGGCCCAGGCCAATTGGGAGGTCATCCTGAGCCACGGTTTAGGGTTTAGGGTTTAGGGTTGAGGGCTGAGGGTTTGGGGTTTAGGGTTTAGGGTTTAGGGTTTAAGGTTTAGGGTTTAGGGTTTAGGGTTTAGGGTTTAGCTGTGATAGGGCGTAGATGCTGTGAAGGTTAGGTCTCGGAACAAGCTCGAAAGCTTCGTGAGGTGCGAAGAGCAGCTTTGGCCCGATTGTGGAGAGCCATCTCACACTTTTCTCCCACCCCCACGCCGTCCAAGGCGGCAAAGCCACCCAAACCTATTCCTTTTAGGGTTTAGGCCAAAACTCAGACAACAGCCCACTTTATTCAGTTTCATGACGTTCGGGGTTGGGCCAGGAAGGAAAGAGGGGTCAGAGGTCAGAGTCGGGCAGTAGGGTGAGGCAGGGCAGGGGGGCGGGGGGCGGCCAGGGGGCCCCTAGGCTGGGGTCTGGGGGTAAAAGGCCAACGGCCCCCAACGTGTTCCGGTTCCAGCCCATCGGTGCTACCGACCGCCATGCTGTGGGAGACGGGCGAGCGACCTGGGTTGCTTTCCATCAAGGTCAAAGGGCTTTAGGCCCTGAGTATCCCTAAAAACCTTAAACAACCCCAAAACGCTAAGAACCCTGAACATCCTGAAACCTTAAAGACCCTAAAGACCCCAAAAACCCTAACAGCCCTGAAAAACACTAAAAAAAACAAAAACCAGAAAAACCGTAATAACAGTCCCTAACACCCCTCAAGCCCTGACGTAACAACTGCCCCTGAAACCCGAGCGCTCGGCTTCACAGCTCGATTTCAGGGCGAAGGGTAGGCTCTTCAAGGTTTTGAGATTTCGAGGTTGAGGGTTGCATTCAACAAGAGACACATGAAGTAGGGTTTCTATTTCTTGTACCCCCAAAAGGACACCGAATATACACACTCACCAATACTAATCAGGAACCTTGTATACACTAGCAATAGACACCCTGCTTCACATCCACACGCAGGTGTGGCTTGTGGGAATGAGGTTGATTGCGGTGTTCCTTTCGGGATGCCTCTTGCCAGGTCCCTCTTGGCATCTGAATCAGATAGAGGAAGAAAATCCACATTTGGGGCTACTACCCCTAAACCCTAAACCCGGCTACTAACCCCTAAACCCTAAACCCGACACCCTAAGACCTTAACCCTCAACCCTACACCCTTTAGCGACTTTCCGGATCCTCCCAGGCCACGCGTCTAGCAAAAAGAAACTTGAGACATACACAACGTATCTCCAACCCCCAGGCTCCCTAAACCCTAAACCCTAAACCCTAAACCCTAAACCCTAAACCCTGAACCCTAAACCCTAAACCCCCAAGCCAAACTGGCCCTGCGGCCAGGCATCTGTGAGCTAAACCGGCGCACAAAGCCTTGCTTGTTGCCGGGTTTAGGGCTCAGGGCTTATGGTTATATAGGCTCTAGGGTGTAGGCTCTAGGCCTTATGGTCTGGGGTTTGGGGTCTAGGGTTTAGGGTCTAGGCTGTAGGGTTTAGTGTGTTTTTAGCGGTGCTGTCGTCAGATGAGCCAGAGTCAAACTCCGATTCCGGGAGTCCCGTCCTGCTGGCCACGCCCGAACCCCGACTTGGTCCTACTTAGTAACCCCCTCAAACCCTGCTGTAACTAACGGGGAAAATGGAGCGATTTCTAGAAGGTGCTCTTAATCAAATTCCCCTACATATATAGCCCTTATAGATACCTAAAGAAGCCCCTAAAAGAAGCCCCAAAGAACCCCTAAGGTCCCTTACAAGGGTCCCTCCTTCAGTCCCTGAATGCCCTAATCCCCATAACCCCACCTTGCTATCCTTACGGCCCAACTTGCTAAGTCACAAAAACGACTTCCAAGTAGCCCTTAACCCCGCAAAATACACTCCACCCAAGAGGACCTCAGCACATGCGATGGTCACCAGCACCAGTGCAACCAGAAACGCCTACTCCACCTCCCTGGGCCTACACATCTCCTCAAATCATGGGGAACCCTGAAGCCTAAACGCTAAACCCTACACCCCAACCACCCCCTGCCAAAAACAAACAAAGGTCCGAAGGTTCATGTAGGGTTCGCTTCTTGTTTTGAGGGTGGCGCCGGGGGGGGGGGGGGGGTGGCCGGCATTGCAGGGTACAGGATCTAGGGGTTCAGGGAAGGAGGATTGTAAGTTTCCCGTTGTAGGGTTTAGGGTTTAGGGTTTGGGGTTTAGGATTCCAGCGCTACTGATCAGATGGGAGGCCATTGCTGACGGTGTGGTCGGCGAGCAGATCGAACAAGTCCTTCGCCGGCTTTAGGATTGAAACTTCTCCACCTCCCTGGACCCTAAACCCTGACCCCAAAATAATTGCAACAATAACAATAATAATGATAATAATGACAATATGAAGAAGAAGAACAATAACAATAAGAATAATAATAATAA